ACGTGGCCGGAGCATCGCTCACCCTCCCAGCTCACCGTTAGAGAGCTCCTCGCATCCCATCCCAGTGCCCCAGCGCCCGCCCGCTGCCAAGCTAGGAAGAAATCACCTAATCCCACGTCTCTGCCGTGCACCAGGTTGGACACGCGCTCGGCAGATAAACACCAGCCCTGTTTATCTCTCAAGGTCTGGCAGCGAGCCTGGCGCTGGGCAGAAGTGCTGGTTTCTGTTTCGGTAAGCTGCGAGACGGCAGCAGCGTCTCACGGCAGTTTGCTCTTCCTCCGCCGCTCTTCGCGTCACCGTGCCACACCGTCGGCTCTCCGCACCGAGAGCCAAAGCACCCTGCCTCATCTCTGCACCTTCCTTTCCAAACCTTTACTTGCAGCCCCCCCACGCCGGCTGGCAGCCCTTACTTAAAGCGCCTGGCGTCTCGCTCTATAAATTGTCCAAACCTACAGCAGCTGCTGGGACCACCACGGTCCTGCTCGGGCAGCATCACCCGCGTCCTGCGGCCACCCAGCCCAAAGCCCCACGCAAACAGGGACGCAGCACAAGTGCTAAGGAAGAGCATCCTCGACCCGGAGCGGGGCTGGGGCCAGCAGGGAGCCAGGGTATCCCCATCCTCCGACTGTAACAAGGTCACGGTCATCAGAAGAAATCCACTTCTGCAGCCCAGCTGCCGCACAGGGTTCAAGAGCTCTTTCTTTGCTCTGGTTCTACCACAAACAAAATAAAAAAACCACACGGGGGCCGCAGCAGAGGTTTTGATGCTACCTGACTGCCGACTGATAGAGAGGAAACGCTTTGCACTGAAATGAAATAACTCAGGAAGCAATAAAAATACATGAGAGCGCCTATAAACAAGAAAAAGGCAGGGGGGGAGTGGGACGCTGCATCTCCTGCCCCGGGGCACCAAGGGATGCTCCGCTGATCCCCAGCGAGCCAACGAAGGCATCGCAGTGCCGGCATGGGGCTGCAGACCCTGCACCCACCGAACCCCCCCGGGCCATTAATGCCTGCAGAACCCCCGGCCGCTGGGAACCCAGGCAGCAATTTGGGGAGGACACGCTCTGCCCCAAGCCCGGCTCCGCAGGAGGGGAAACCCCTCCACCTTTTGGGGGGCAAATACTCTCCGGAGCCAGCCAGGGG